AATTAGTTTGTTTTTGCTTATATTTCCCTTAATTACTAGATAGTCCTATGGCTGAAAATCTGCAGCAGAGAGTGAGAAGACATGTGACACATGCTGACAACATTTCAGGCCTCCATGGAAGGAGACAGGAAATGCCAGAATACTTTTTAAAAAAAAAATAGTAGGAAATAACAGATAGGTCTACTAGCAGAGGTCAGATCTACAGAACATAGCCAGTAAACATGGGGATGGATATAAAAACAAATTGGGATATTCAACAAATATCCCTGATTCATCAGATATTTGTTGCTTCATATTCTTGGGGTCTAGAGATCCCGACAAATATGAAGCAATGAATATAACCCTTTTATATTTGTCCTTTCATCTATCCCTATCTGCTTTTGCCCCCATGGATCAGCTGTTACTCGAGGGCATAAGTAGAGAGGGATTTTCCCTTCAGGCAGCTTGCTAAAGCCTGCCCAAATGGAATCCCATCCCCCTGTTTACAAAGATGGGGGGGTAGCTTTACTCAGGCTTGCCCTGTCTTTCTATACCCCTGTGGCATAGATAGGGGAAGCCTGACTAAAGGAATTCTCCCCACTGCCTTTGCAAAGAAAGTGGGGGTGGGAGATTGCTTTGATCCCGCTTTGATCTTGCTTCCCCTGTCTTCCTAAGCTCCACTGGGACTTAGGAAAGAGGAGCAAAGGGGCACCCAAGCGATCCTTGCTCCTGCTCCCAGGCTGCTCTTAACCCCCTTGGGCTGTCTATTTTACAAAACCCAACGATGAACGAACCAATGAGTTGATCCACTGTCAGGTCACTGGGGGGCAATTTGTGAGTCAAACCAAGATGAAGTGCCATTTTGGTACTTGGTCCTCACCTTTAATAACCACCAGTCAGAAAAACTGCAATTCCACCACCCGCATGTGTGTGTTATTCATGCCACTCCCAAGAAGAGACAGAATGCCTCATGCTGAAGAAGTCCTCCCACTTCAAGGAACATATTTGAAGGTGGACTTAAATTTGAGATGAGGAAGTGAATAAGTGACAAGGCTTTTTTTTTAAGGTTTTCCAAAGACATCCTTACATGTGAGGATGACAGGAAAGAAAATGGTTCCCTAATCTTCTATAACGTGGCAGTTTGTGTCTTTAAATTGTTCAGAGTTAAGATTTCTGTACATCCTTCTTTTCCTGGAGGATTTTCAGATGCCTTCTGATGTGAAAGAATATACTTCTTGGTACAAACTGATCAATTATAACAGGGGTGGGCAAATTGAATGGCTGTGGGAGCCCATTTTCTCACCTAGGACCCTGCAAGGTCAGACACAGACTTCTCAAACTGAAAAAAAATATAAAAGTGTAAATAGCCAAAAGTCCACTTCCAGTTTAGAAAAAAATATATATATTTTGTTGTGGGCACAGAACTTTGTTGTGTGTTGAAGTGTTGCTGCTGACTATGATAGCCATGGGAAAAGGTTGGGAAGGTTCATGATTAGCTTTGTCTTATGTGTGCTGCTGAAAGACACATAGAACTTTTCAAATTGCATTCCTTCTATGTTGCATACTAGCAGAAGAAGGAGAAAAGATTTAGTCTAGCCAGCTCTTCCTGACCCGCAGGCTTTTTATTAGTAGGTTGATGGTTTTGTTTTGTTTTTGCAGATTGTATGAATCACACCAAAAATATCTACAACAACATTTGTAGCCGCATTTGACAAAGTGGCGGTAGTCAACGTGATAGACAATATGGTGATAGACAATAATGTAAAACTGAAAATAGTAATAATTAGAGAGTACTAAGGACAATAAAATAACATGTTTTTCTCTGTGTTAAAATCTAGTAGGAACTGAGACCTTAGGAAGTCTATATGAAAAGTTATATGAGACCTAGAAGTGTTCCCAGATACAGTACATTGAAGTGGAGGTGGAACACTTGTTCAGATGTTTCTGATAAACTCCTTCCCCACCATTTGATATGTACACATCCACTTTAGTTCTGTTAAATTCAGGATGTAGCATGCATTACTCAATATACAAACTGCATGTGCAGCTCAAGAGTGTATGTATACAGAAGCTGCATGTGCAGTTGAATGAACTGAGGAAGATACATTCATTCAGCCCATGTAAACCATAGCTCCTTGCAGGGTAACTGGAACACAACCCCTTCCATCCCTAGGAAGATTCTGGAGAGGACTGGGGACAATTTTGAGGAACAGTGGAAGACTGAGGAGACCACAAAAAAAAATGAGTTAGAGCACAAAGTAGAGAAGACCATAGAAGGTGGAACGGCAGCTAGTTCCCTTGCACAGCATTAATCTAGCATCAACTGTGAAGCCAAAGAATAGCAAGCTGAAACATGGAGTTGCACTGCAACCTAGAACTGTGTAACAACAGACCAGAGAGATGAATCAGGCAGGGGTGGACAACACATGTACCCCTTAGAAACACCTGTGGTACCCCAACATACCCCCCATTTTTATTTTCTTAAATGGAAAATTGATTCAATGAGTCTTTTTGTGTCATCTGGAGCCATTGGAGTCATTTTACCATATTTTGAGTGGAGTCCAGAATCCTAGATCTCCACCCAACTTTTAAAAATTTCTTACAATTTAAGAATGTCCTTTTGATCATAAGAGGGCACAAGGGGGATTCTTCACTTTTTAAAAACTACATTTTTGGTAAGAAGTATGGTGCTTAGTGGGCATCACAGGAGTCACTGTACCCTCTAAGATCCAAGGATCTGAAACCTCTGGAGACTGATGCTGAAGTGGAAAACTGCCTTTATGGTCATCATGCCCTCTTTTTTTAATGACAGTTCTTTGAATTGTTCTTGCTGCTTCTCCCTCCCTCCCTCCTTAATTAATCAATTATTGCCAGCAAAGAATTTAATTTTCCTTAGCCATACTTCCAATTTTCACAGTGTTATAGCAGTGGCGTTGGTGAGTAAATATACTGCTGGATTACTTACATTTACAGATTAAAGAGTACATTTTGCATTGTCCTATGCAATCCCCACTAAACATACTAGGACCTATTTAAGTATAGAGTAGCAGCAATGGGGAATATATAGAAGCTCCAAAGTTCACCTCTGCCAAGATTTATAACACATTCATACAAGAGCTCCAAATACCTTGTTTCTGTTTGGTGATCAGTAATAGTAATAGTAATAGTAATAGTAATAGTAATAGTAATAGTATAATTTATTGTCATTGTAGCATATACACAGTATACCCATACAACGAAATTCACAGACACCCAGAGACCAGACACATGCACACACATAAAATTCCCCCAAACACTCCCCACCCACTAAAAGTCCCCCACTAAAAATACAAACATCTACACCACAGGCCCAGTAACACAGTCCAACTAACTATTCACTACTGGTGGTCTTTAAGCTCATTATTAAGTGCAATTATAGCTCTGGGATAAAAACTATTCAGAAAACGTGTGGTCAGAGAACATAATTGTTCTATATCTTCTGCCAGATGGTAACAGTTCAAAAAAGTTATAAGCAGGATGGGAAGAGTCTCTCAGGATGCTGTGTGTCTTCCTCAGACAGCGGGATGTGAAGATGTCATCCAGGGTTGGTAGCTGGAGCCCGATGATATTCTGGGCAATTTTAATGGTTCTCTGTAGAGCTTTTTTGTCCGCTACAGAGCCATGCCAGAATGCCATAGGTTAGGACACTCTCAATGGTGCTACGATAGTATGACAGAAGTAAATGCTGAGATAAATTTAACTTGCCGAGCATTCTCAGGAAATACAGCCTCTTCTGTGCCTTCTTCATTAGCATGTTGGCATTTAGTATAGTCATGAATACTGAAACATGAATACTGAAGAATTACAGTACTGCTGCATATTCTTCCAGTTATTGCTTAATCTTGGGTGGCTGAATGCCACTTGTCCCACTATTCTTCCTGGTGAAGGAATGGCCTTCAAGATGCAAAAGGAAACTGAGCCAACTCTCAGCAATGCCTGCATGTACTCATGTGTACATTATATGTGAATATGTATGTTTTATATGAGTACACAGAGTTTATGTATACAGTACTGTAGTGTGCTCATGTTGAAGAGCATGTATTCAGCTGCACGCGGTTATAAAGAAGCATTGTTAGTTGTCCCAGCATGTTGGAAAAATTAAATGAAAAAAGGGGGAAAAGGAAAAAAATACACAGACAAAATATTGTGGTGTTTTGATGCACTAAAACTTATATGGAAACAAATCTGTTAGTCTTTAAGGTGGCACAATGTTATTCCCTTTTAATTTTGCACTGTGATATGATCATAATCAGCACCACCGTCTCTTAAACCCCAGTGATGTTTGTCCTTCATGTTTGTAGGTTCACATTTCAAACCTATAATTAAACACAGTACTTCTGAACACCAAACCTCCAAAGTGATCTGTCTACTTGACCTCTGGTGGGATAAGGCAGAAAAATCTGGAGTGGAAGCAGGGAGTTTGTAGGGGATCTCTGCATGCAGAACAGATCCTAGATTCGTGGAATGGAAAATAAGGGCAGAAATAAAAGAATCAGAAGATGACTAACTCGCTCAGGAAAACTGAAAATAAAGGTACAGAATCTGCTTCATCACACAACCAGGATCAGGGCTGCTGCGTAGAATTGTAGGGAAACAATTCTTCCTTTGCAGTTTTTCTGGCCGATTGCTCCACCTGCAAGACTGCTATTTGCTCTGTTTGGGTTGGTAATGGAGAATGTACAGATACCCTCAACAGGAGAACAAGGAAACTTACACTCAGTGGTACACAGGATAACCATGTAACTTAGTGATATGCAGATTTAGATGTATAAACCTACTAATTTCACCTGCCTTAAAAGGTCACATAACTGCAATATTTCATGGAAGAGAGAGGAAAGGGAAAATATCCCTGAAGGAGAGGAAAGTTCTGTGTGCAATGTGGCATTCAGGTTCAGGTTCTACATGGTAAATATTTTATAACAGAGGTACAAACAATTTGACCTTATTTCATAAGGTTTATTTTGGTTACTGTAGCTTAATTTTACTAAAACTACCAACTGTGGTGTGAATGAAGTCTTTTTAAAGGTTCTAAAAACATGGAACAGAACTTATTTATGAACAGTCAAAAGTCAGTGAATAAAGGCATGGATGTGGGAAATTCCTATTCAAATACAGTATCTGTGTTAAACATACAGTGGTTCAATGCAGTTGACGTGTTGTTGTTTTTTAAAAACCATGGTCTTCTAGGATCTTCCACTTCAGATCGATCTACTGTTTATGAAGAACTAACATTTCTCTACCAAAGTGAAAATGGCTGCTTAATATAGTAAACACAAGTTGCAAATTGGGTGAGTCGGAGTCATATTTCACCCTTGGCAATGACTTAGGACCCCTTTGAGATTCAGTTCTTTTCCTTTGAAGGTTCCTTCTGTAAAAAGTGACAATGGCCCTCTCTGTTGGCACCAGGCCTGCTGCCCATCCTGCCCGCTGCTGCACCTGTTGCTTTTGGGTGGAAAAAAAAGAGCCCTGGGGCTTCTGCTCCTGAGTCCACTCACAGTTCACCTCTGCCAAGATGGGACCTTTAGTTACTCCTTATAAACGGGTTCGTTTAGGCGGGACTGCTCAATTCTTCAGTCAAAGAACAAGATGATGAACTCTCATTTATAAAAGGATTCCTCACTCTATGAGGTTTCTCCTCGATAATGCTGTTAACACATAATGTGGCAACTTCCTTCTTTAAGCAAGAGCACGTTAGCACCAGTAGACTCTTATTTAGCCTGCTACTGTACAGTAGTACTGTATGTGCTTCCTGACGGAGAAACAGCCCTGCACTGGGAGCTTTACAAAATGTTGCCGCTCGCCGGAGAGAGGGTTGTGAGTAAATCCCGAGGAGGAAATTCTTATGCAATTATTATTTTCCGGGCCGCAGCGGCATTTTTTCTCAAAAAGGGAACCAAGTTGCTGTAACTTCAGCTTCCGAGCCTTCCTTCCGCTCTGCATCCAGTGCCGGCGAGCGAGCACCCGCTTTGTGGCCAGCCAGCCAGTCCTTGACGCAAGCGGACGATTGCTATTGACTTCGAGGCGAATTTGCCCTCGTCAAACATGGCCCTCCCGCCCTCGCCGTAGCTTCCCCCCGGCCACAACGTCAGGCACGGCTACAGATTTTTCTCTCCCGGTTTCAAAATGGCTGCTCTGCCCTTCTGTGGGGATCAACCACTCGCGGTGAGGCTCATCTAATCGGAAGGTTTGTCTATAGAGGTAAGAAAAACCGTGACCAGTAATCTAAGGCAAAACTAAGCCGCTGCTGCCATTAGCTTTGAGGCGTTCCCATTGGGCCCCGAGTTTTTATGCAGCCGGCAAGAAGAGGCTCCCTAGAAAAGGAAGTTAACCCCTTCCCTTCAGAGCTCTACGTGCTACTTTTCGACGTTTCTTTCCCGTCAGCTGCAGCCGCGCGACTGCCGGAAGTAACGTAAAAGCAGGATGCCGCCGCGACGGGGCCACGCCAAGGCCTGCGAGCGCTGGAGCGCGCGTTGCATGCTGGGAAGCCATGGTCGAAGTGGGCGGCCCGGCCGGGGAGGGGAGCTGGGTCTGACCAAGGAAGGCGCTGCGTGGGGGGCAGGAGGGGGGAGTGCTCGAGATGGATTCACCCTGAGGGCTGTTGCCCTGGGAGGCCCCCCCAGGAGTTCACCTTCCCCAGCCATGCCCGGCCCCTGCAGGAGCCCTTCCAAGGTAAGGAAGGCGGCCGTTGTTTGCGCCGCTGCCCACCCAGGCTGAAGCTCCGGCTTTCAGAGCTGGAAAGGTAAGAAGGATCCTCCCAGCTGCTGCTC